TGGGCAACAGTGGGTGCGTAATCGGCGTGAAGATCTTGTTCAGAGTCCTTGAGAGCTGACCCATAGGCCCCATGTTGAGTCCGGAAAAGGGTGGGTGCGGGTACTTGGCCTGAATCGTCGACCGGAAGTACTCGAGCTCGTAGTTCTCCTGCATCGAGTTGACCAGAGCATACATCTTGACAATGTCCCCATACACCGCCCCCATCTCGAACAGCCTTTGCGTTTCAGGTGACGTCCACTTGAAGGTGCCCGAGAAGTCGTGGAAGGCTGATATGATCTTGGTGCACGCCTTGTTCTCAGCCAACTTCTTTCGGATTTCCTCGGGCAGCCACAGCTCCACGTCAATGTACTCGCAGCCCCATTGTATCGCGCGCCCAAGGTATCGGTAGTAGAGCGAAGGGTCGTCCATGGGAAATCGGCCGTTTTCCTTTGTGCACCTTGTCGTAAAGATGATGGGCAGCTCAGTGCGCTGGCGCAACACCATGACTTGCTCTCCTACATACTTGAGGCTGGGCACCTTGCTAATGGTCCCATCCGCCAGAGGTTCTTCAAGCAGGTCTACCCTAATCTCTATCGCATCCGCACCAACCGACAAGATGTCCAAATTCGGAAGCGCGGCATGTACGTCAGGAAACGTCGTCGAGATTAACGTCGTGCGCGCCTTCTTGGTAAGGTCGCGGTGGGGGCCAATCTGGCCTAGGATGAAGGAGAGGTAGCGCGAAACGTCTCGACGGAAAAAAGGCGATCGTGTGTAGAGATATTCATAGTCGCATCGGTCGGTGATGCTTTCGTCCAGCTCGTAGCTTCCATCCACCCGGTGTGTGTTGATCAACAGCCTGGAACGATCCCAGTTGTCCAAGTGCGGCTTTGCAACCAAGCTGCTCAACCCATACACTGTTTCCTTTGGGCCGGCCAGCGCATCCTCTATAGATGACGCCAACTCCCATCTCTGTCCCAAAACATCCGCAATTGTGTCTACAATGCTCTCCTCGCCCTCGTTGTGCAGAATCAGGAGCGCGGGTCGGGCGCCATGTGGAATCTCCTGCACGTCAATGACCATACCTTCTTTCAGGTGAGGGGAGGTCACACCCCCGGCAGTCTGCACCATGGTGGCCATGGGTGAAGATAAAGTTGGGTTCTGTTCTTGTTCTCGCTTTGGATTAGCCGTATGTGTTGAAGCCGTTGATGCGATGCTGGATCTCGGCGAGGATGCGACGGGCGGAATACAACTGGCAAACTGCAACAACCGTCGCTACCATCTCCAAAGCGTCGACGAGGCTGAGGCAGTTGGGGGTGCGTGTGGAGAAATACAAACGCCTCACAGTGAGCGCTGTACTAGATTCATCCGTGGGGGGGTGGGATGCAGGACTGGCTTTTGATTTAATCGCAGTGCGTGTGAGGTTTGGAGATAGAGAGATAGCACCATGTCCTGAACAGAAGTGGAAGCCCCCAAGCCTCCGCAAACCGCGCGCGTTTGTTCGCTTCAGAGCCGTCCTATGGCTGGACGGTGAATATGCCGTTGGCATTGACACTAGCTCGGAGCTGTAGGATAGTGTACGGTCCCGGCGCGGGCACCATGGCGCCTTCGCCGATAGCTGCGCCTGAAATTTATCCGTCGGCTTACCATACGCCCACTCGACCCCCAGATTTCGCACCAATCACCTGATTTGCCATCACACAATGCATTCGCACGCCAAGCATATCGCTCCCCATCGCCATCCTTTGACGCGAGATGCTGCTGACGTTGGCATGTCCACATTGGTGGAGAATGGCGTATAGCCCATCTCCCACTGAGATCCTTGGGGCCTGAGGCAACACTCGACTGCCATCTGCATGTCTGAGGCGTTGGCTGCCCAGCAAAAACACCACCTTAATACGAGCTTGGTATCCCGTGTGGGCGTAAACCATTCCGATCCACAGGCCCATTACTGTCGCGAGGCTTGCGCCTAAATCTCCACGCCTCTGCAACCCATCATGCCCCCTTCAATCAGCCCTATCGCACTCGCTGTTTGGGCGGTATGCCGTATTGGTGTTGAGTAATGACTACCTACGCCTCCCCTGTGCAGGCTATCCCTCCCTCCTGAAAGATCTGCAAAAAAAAACGATATCATTCTCCTCTCTTCACAACAATGACCTCAAGGTCGCCCCCTAAAGGCCAATGCAAAACGGCATTTCCTAATCGATACCCGTTCCATCTCTTCCGGTCTAATCGTTCGTACCAAAGAAAGTTCACATATGCAATATCTCGGTGATTTGCCACTCTATATTAGTCCGGAGCCCGCTGTACATTGATGCACCTTCGTTTGGCCCTCATTGACTTTAGCCGTTAACCCTGAAACACGGGTGAGAAAGGTCGACAAACATCGACTCTCTATGCCGGTTCCAGATTTTCCGTGACCAATTTCACTGTAACGCTGGTCCACCTCAACGGTAGAAGTATCACCAGTGCCGTTGAATCAGCTAATCGAGCCAGCTCAGAGACCATCATGATTTTCCATGTAGTACCAACATGACCACGGAAGATTTCGTATTGGAGCATTTGCGACTTCTTCTCAACACATTTTTCCATTGTTCTTCAGCTATGGTCGACCTGAGGTGTTAACTCATCGTGTCTTTCAAAGTACTTACCAAACGGCTAAAATAATGCGTCGAATGTATACGACACCATGCCACCGTCAAAATGACGCACTTTGAGGGACTAAAGGCTATCTAATTGCGCATGCTGCAGCACTTCGGGCCAAAAGGAAACCATTCTTCCATGACCAATGCATGGCCAACCGTGTCTCTATACCACTTTGGACCGGCGTGGAAGCCTGCGGATACCATATTCAATCTCACCGCTGAATCACTTTCTCGGCAACTTGCAGCATTCCCTCACCGTGAGCAGATGTAGCAATATGGAGCAGCAAAAAGATTCTTCGCGGTTCCATCAGAGAAACACTACGTATAACTGATAGACCCCTCATCATGACACTTCCTGTACGTAACTTCTTCCGAGTCAAGTTAGCCGCCATCTTGTACAGCCTGATGTCCCTTCTTCTCCGTTTCTATTTTGGGTCAGACCATCGGAGTACCATAAGAAATGTATAGGCTAATGTGATTGTCCCACTTCTCTCGTCAGATCAGCTTCATCTGTAGATGAACTACATTCTCACTAATATGAAACAACACCACCGGCTGAAGAAACACAAGGAAGAGATATCATGGATCGAAGATGCTGATGCAATAGACATTGTATATGATCTGATTTGGCCCGGGTACCACAATGAGTTTGTACGATACAACCTTCTAATCTCAACGCAATCAACGTGACACTATTCAGTATGACTTTTCAAACATGAGGGGAACGTATACGAGACACGTCTCTTATCAGCAAGAAGCATCATTTTGCCTACATCTTATGATTTAAATACCCGACATGATGCACCTCCAGCTACCTCTATTGATGTTTCTCTATATTTGAATTAAACTTACTTAGTCTAAATCAGCCCTAAGGGAGAAGTGGTTGCTTATTCTCTTGTGATTGCAAAGATTCTGCACATAATCACTGATGTCTACTTCAAATCGTACATATTTCATCCGACCGTCTGGTCTAGCCTGTTAGTAATCATGCCGAGACCTGTGGCTATTTTGTCTCTGCGAGAGAGGGAAATAGACTATTTGTCATGCCCATAACTTCGTGTAGTAGGAGAGCTACCAATGCATGCTAAATCTTCCCAGTGTAGATATATTAGTATATCGTGAAAGCATCAACATCAGCAAACAAAAGATGATGATGAAAGGTAAGATACCTGATTACTTCCTAGGGAGAAGCATCTAGCTACGCTATGCAAGTGTAGAGATACTAACAACTAAAAGTGGTGGAAAAAGCAGGGCGAATAGGATACATGTATTAGTGATGCCAACGGCCTTGGCGCTCTGACCTCATCCAAGACTTCGAGTGCGGCGAACGTCGGAGGTGATGCCATCACCAAACTTTCTGTCAACATCCACCGACGACACAAAATGTTTGCACGACGCGCAATTCCCTCGGTAATTATCCCGAACATATCTCCGCTACATTCAATGCCTCTAACAATTACCAGGCCTTCCGAGCCGCCACCCGCGCAAGCGCACCGCGCCTTTCCCCAACTACACGCTTCCTCACGCCATTCCAAGTACGACTGCTTTCCGATGAAGTCCGCTCCGCGATCGACAGGGCCATTGCTTCATCCCCAGTAGTTCTATTCATGAAGGGCACACCTGAGATGCCTCAATGTGGTTTCTCAAGAGCTAGCATCCAGATTCTAGGAATGCAGGGCGTAGATCCCGACAAATTCACAGCTTTCAATGTACTAGAAGATCAAGAGCTGAGGCAAGGTAAGGGATTCACATAATGCATGAACCGGAGTGGTTGAGTATTTTTGGGCTGAGCTCCGCTTGATTGCTGTCAATTGATATGGAATGCGCCACTGGGAACATCTTGCTGACAAATATATCAGGAATCAAGGAATACTCAGAGTGGCCGACGATACCACAGCTATATGTCGACAAGGAGTTTATCGGCGGCTGTGATATTCTCATGACGATGCACCAGGACGGATCGCTCGCCAAGATGCTTGAGGAAAAGGGTGTGGTTGTTCCTGCCGAGGGACAAGGGCAAGCGCCCTAGAAAGCTTATTTATGAACACGGCAGGGACTACAAGACATGAAAGCCACATAATGCCGTTTTGTATTGATTGCGAGTGTCATCCATTGGCTTGCATCACTGTAACAAGAATGTGTACATATGACTTATGAAACATATGCCGTCGGTTGGCCTTTGTAAGCCAATGCTTCTGGTGTGCCATTTCATGTTTGCATATACAGGCTTTATTACTTGTCATCAAGGCGCACCTTCCTTACCAATGCCAGATGATGTAGGCCTAGATCTTGAGTTCCATCCCTCGCCAAGCGTTCACCTTCGACACCCACAGAAACTCTTGACACATTGTTTACCCCATCATTCCCGGTCTTCCATTATGGATGCTGAACGCAGCAAGAATGCCTCGCATTCAAAAACTACGAAGGTTTCACTTACCAAAACCACACTACCTGCAAAGGTAAAGAAAGCAGTCTCAGTTTCCGCGATCTTCAGAAGAAGGAATTAAAACACACACCAGAGCACATCTGCGCCCCAAAAGGATAAGGGCGTTTCTGAATTCACCAGGGGGTGTGGCGATGCCGCGACGTTGCTGAGTGTCAAATTGCACTTGAGCCCACGTAATGGGGTGAAGAAAAGCCATGGGGAGCGCGCATCAGATACCCATCCACTGAATGTAGCATTCAAAAGTAGAAACCAAGATTCCGATAGATGGCGTTGGTAGCTAATATTAAATCATGTAGACGCCAGTAGTGATTATCGCAGACATCTCTACCAGACGGCCTCTCTTAAGACCAACAACATTCTCAAAAGTCTGCTTACCACACTTCATGAGAGTATTCCACAGACCGTCCTCCCAAGCGGTAGCTCCAAGAATGCCTCTACCTCTCCACTCAAGTTGTCAGCACCGGAAAAATAAGGGCGTCTAGCCTTGCAGCTCCACCAACCCATCTCGCAGTTCACACTCAGACTACGCCATACCAATAGCGAAGGCCAGGTCGTAAGCTTCGACCAAACTCTCGAGATACGCATGTTGCATTACGAGGCGCTGATCGCTGCGCAGACGGAAGAAGTGACCGAGTTACAAAAAGCATGGCAGGCCGTTGTGGGCGAGATACGGAAACTGGGCGCTGTATATCTTGGAGAGAAAGCAATGCAGGATTTGCTTTTTGCTCCTACTACCGGGCAACAGCAGGGACCGGATGATTCAGCAGCACCATTACAACCCCAGTATTCTTCCTCGCCATCAAAATCTACAGATGTAGAGTCTACCCTCTTCGTGCCTGAACACGGAATCTCCCCTCTTTCGAAGCAAAAGAAGTGTTCTGTCATGAAGCGCCACAAGCTACTACTACTACTACTACTAAAGATAAATACGGCGCCAGTAACCCAACTTCGTTTCCGCATTTCCTGTACCAGCCGTCGCAATTCGGCTTTGAAGCCACGTTATATATCCCGCACGCTGAGTTTGGAGAGGATATACAGGACTTGTACCAGGAGATTGAGGAGATGGGCGACGAGCAGGTTGATGACTTTGTCGAGATGGAAAAGGAGCAGCATGCGTTTTGGAAGAAGAAGAAGAAGAAGAAGAAGAAGAAGACGGTGCAGCTTGCGAGTGCGTTGTGAGATGAGTGACGGACAAGGTAGAGAGAGAGATGTGGGGTCAATGAGAAAAGTACTTGTTCTGTTGCATATCACGGTTACCCGAAAGAGTAACATGCATGTAAGGTGGCCACTCTCAGACAATACGAGGAGATAATATCAGTACGTAACTCAAATTGCCACATGCTGGAAGATTCATGATCCGGATATAATGGTACAAAGTTTAATTTATCTTTATTCTTCTTATTCTTATCTATTGCAAACGATATAACAGACGACAGAACGGAGTGCAACATATGTTTCTACACAAAAAAAAAAGAAGCAGAAGAAAAAACATACATGTTGCAGCTAACCCACTCCCGTGTGTAAGTATCGTAAAAAGCAAAACGTCTAATAATCTAGATGGATATCTTGAATGTTCAAAAACTTGAACTCTCGGAATGAAACGTCTTGTGTCCTCCTCTAATTCGCCATCTTTCCAAAGAAAGCCTAATCGAAAGAGCTCCTGAAGACCCATCGCTGGTCTTCGGGCTGCTGGAAGGGCACGCCAAGCTCAAACAGAGTAGTGACTGCCTCGGCAAAGTCCTTGAAGAAGGCATCGCTGTCCTTGGCATACAGTTGGGTGTACTGCTTGAAGCTCTTGTCCTTGACGAGCTCCATATCAGTGGGCAACATCATGAGGCTCTTGGTCTTGACATCCTCAAACTGCTTGGGACCATTCCACTTCTTGTAAGCCCACTTCTCCTCGAGGAGCAGCTTGAAGTAGTCGTTGGTCAACGTAGTGGGAGAAAAGGTCCAGGGGCCGTCGAAGCCGGAGCGGTCAGTGTGGCAGCGGCCGAGGGCGTGGGCGCCAGAGAGGGCAACCATGGCACGGTCATCGAATCCCATGCGGCCAAAGATGGCGCGAATGTGGCTGCTATCCTTGGTGGCATCGGGCAGACGGCCGTCAGGAGTGCAGAAGGCGACATCGCGATCGGAACGGCCAGCACGGTAAGGAATCTTGGGACCCTGCATCTCCTGGATGGCGCAAACACCACCGAGAATCCACAGGTCCGAGTAGCTGATCCAAGGGAAAGCTTGCTTGACAGGCTCGAGGAAATCGCGAGCGGCCTTGAGACCAGCATTAGCACCGTGGTCAGCTTCGGGGGCAAAGCGCATGGTTGCGCCGTTGGAACCGCCAGTTCCAGTCAACTTGTCATAGCTGTAGTATGTCAGTTTCCGGTTCAGAGGTATCAGGTACAGTTGAGTATACTCACGTTCCTGAGCAGTGCCATGCCAAACGTAGTAGCACAGGGCCGTAGCTGCCATCATCGTAGCTGTCGTTCTCCTCCAATCTCTTGGCGATGGTATCGTAGACCTTCTGGTAGTCCTCGAACCTGGGAGTGAAGACCTTTGTGCTGGTCTGGCCAAAGAGCTCTGGCTTGTATGTGTATAGGGCATAGGCACCAGCACCGACAAGCAGAGCACCAGCACCGAAAGCTAGACCGGTTGGGTTGCCCTCATGCTTATCAGGGCCATCTTCCTGGGAGGCGTATCCGCGTCGTTGGTTGCTGAAGACGTTTTGTGTGGGTGCAACGAAGCGGGCAGATGAGCGGGTGGCGGTGGTGCGGAACGAAGGAGCAGCGGTGCGCAGAGCACGGGAGAAGCTTCGAGAGGCCGACGCCATTGTGTGAATGTTTGTGTGTATGTGTGTGTGAGTGTGTGTTGATAAGCTACACACGACTTGTTTGTGGTCTAGAAAGCGCAATTGGCGAAGGCAGAGGGCGAAGTGAAGGGGCAGAAAGCCAGCGAAAGTGAGATGATAAGAGACGTCAGCAAAGGGAGCGTGAAGGTTTTTATGAAGACACAAGTATTTTCTCGGTGTCCCGAGGGCGATAGACTTTCTTTCTGGAAGGCACGCCAAAAGACCCACCTCTGACAGCTATGGGCCAATCACATGCGTCGCAGCGCATGGCTGTCTGGACCCTTGCGATTACGATATCTGAAGCAGCGGCGACACAGGCCCGATAGCTTAATCTGTGCTTTTCGACTCGCCGAAGAGCGGCTTCTTGGTAGGAATCGGGTCACACACACAGACAGTCTCGCGGCAGTCGAACAGAGGAGAGCCAAGTGGTTTTGTAACTTGTTTGCACTAGGCACTGCCATGGTGCATATTCCGACCTCGTCCCGAGACAGATCGACGCAAGCCAGGCGCGCGGAATGAGGGGCAACGACATGAGGCTCTGCGGCAGCCGCCTCGAGATTCCCTTGTCGTCTTCAACAGCCTATCTGGAGTCTATGTAGTATACTGCCTCTGTCTCGCCAATACTACACCAATGGGTTTTTTTGCTGTCGTCGTTGCTGCGTTAGTCACCGTTCCTGGGTGCGGCCGCTGACTGGCCAATCACAATGCGGTCATACTAAGCCATGGCGGCGTGACTCGTGCCGCACCCACATGCCGTCCCCATGCCGTTCCTCTCCAGCGCGGTACAGGCGGCAAATAGTGGATGCTTCGCTTCAACAGGCAAATCTCTCCATCTAGACAGAGGGCCCCACAATCACACGGTTACACATGTATCAAGGCGGCAAAACTGTCCGGTAAGAAGCCGATTCCATTACATACTCCGACCCAAACACACGCACGTACATATTAGGGCTGACCAAAAGGAAACAATCAAACATGGTAACTCCGCCTGGCCATGACCCTCCCGCTGATGATCCCAAATCTTGACCTAGCGCCTTGCAGGGAAATGCTCATGTCCATGCTCGTGTAAAAAAAACATAAAATCAGACCCAGCTCCAGTGCCGAAAATGCAATCATTAACCCCAAGTATTTCCCCCTTCCCGCCCCCCCTTTCGTGAGCCGCTCGTCCTAGCGTGAAACATGCAAAATCAAAAGCAATCAATGAAACATGTGGTGGTGGTGTTGGTGGTCTGGCGGGGGTAGACCCATAATGGTACCAAGGTAGAGATGCGCATGAGGGTAGCCGTTCATGCTGCCTGTGGGCGTCGAGATTCCCGATGAGGATGCTGTAGGCGGATGAGAATCTTCCAGACTTCTTCGGGCTGCGATTTCTGCTACTTCCTTGACAATCTTGGGCTTGAGGAGATCCCATGAAGTGTTGTTGGGATCCTTGGGTATAGTCACAGCGCGTTTATACGATGGGCAGGCCTCGAGTTCCTTGATACCAATTGGTGGCGACAGTTGGGCGGCCTTTTCCTTGAAGTAGGCCTTGCGCCTAGATTTCTTTGAACTGTACTCGGCAGTCCTGGCAGTCCGCTGCATCTCTTCCCACTGCTCCATCTTCTTTGCAAAGGCTTGACGTTCTTCTATTCTTTGAGCCTTTGCAGCAAGCCATGCAGCGACCCACGCGGCAGACTCGTTTGCGTCGTGAGCCCGTTCACGCACCTCGCGGTTGTACTCGGCAACGAGCTTGTCTACGTCTGATCTTAGATAAATCGTCTTGAGTGCATGCGTGCTTGCTGGGCCAACCCCGACAAAATTGCCCCAAGAATCGTAGATACCGCTTGGAAGAGCAGCACGAATGAAGGAAACGTCTTCCCCGTCTGGACCTTTGAGCAGAGCCATGGCCTCGTACTCCTTGATGACCTGATTTGTTAGACAGTCCTTGCACATGCGGCGCAGAAAAGCCCAGAATGTCTTGCGAGTGTTCTAGACGACGGACAGTCAAAGTTAATAAATTTGCCGTGACAAGTCGGTAGACGGTGCGGGTGTTGTCACTTACGGGGGCACCGCAGTCCATACAGCCATGGCCATGGCGCAGGTGGGCAAACTGAAACTCAGTCAGGCCTGGAGGAGGGTCGGGCATGTCGGTTCCGTAGTAGTAAACCCTGCTATGCTTCCAGAGCATGGGGTTGTCGCGCAGGAAGCGGTAACATGAAGCGATTTTGCTGCGCATCTCGAGTAACTGGGCGGGGTCCGAGTAGGAGAGGATGATGAACCAGCAGTCGAGGTCGACACCCTTGGACAGGACCTTGCCCCTCCGTAACCGGGTGGGCTTGCGTTGCTGCCACTGCTGGGTGAGGAGGGGGCGAGCGGGTGCGGTTGCGAGTGGAGCCAAGGCATTGCTGGCGTAGGAAGCGCTCGAGTGTGCTGCTTGGTCGTATTCTCTCTTGCCGTCGTCGCCCCGCTTGCGCTTCAGACTGCCTTCGACCTTTGCCAAGGGCACGTTGTGGGAGCGCACCTCGTGCGCAAAAGCGGCACGCTTGCCAGCGGGCGGGCGGCAATTGATTACTGTCGCATAGGCTTGGTCGGGCGTCTGCAGAAAGGGCGTCTGCTTGTTGACTGTAAAGGCGACATATTTGGCATTCACCATTTCGGGTCAGCAGGCCAGCCGCTCGGTGGGATGTGGGATCGAGGCGGGTGGCAGGCAGGCAGACTTCCGGGGGCAGGGTCGTCCTTTTTCACAGTGTCGTGGCGGCAGGATGGAGGAGAGGAGGGTGGAGCGGTCAGCGGGCTGGGGAAGCATGAAAGGAGCGTGGACGACGCTGAGACTTCGGCGTGCCCAGGCTCGAGTGAGGTCGGCTGCCGAACCAGTCTTGCCCGGTAGCAAGGTTGACCCTTCGCATACAAAACCTTGGCCGCCTGCTCCTTACCTTACTAAGCTCGACCGTGCTATAACTACTTGAGCTGTGCGCGGCTGACATCACTCGAGTGGGCTCTTTGTCGGATGCTGGCATCCACCGTCTGTGTCGACATGCAACATCCATACGTATATGAACAGGTACGCATAACATGTACCGACAGCCGCCGCACAATCTGGAAGCCCGCCTCGCGGGCTGACTGGAGGGGCATGCGACCAGCACCAACATCAGGACCAGGACCAGAGCCAGCACAACAAGATGGAACACGACCGCCGCGGAACACTGGCCTTTGAGCATTCAGCCATTTTTTTTCGCAATTAGGCCGACCACGACGGCGACGACGACAACAACGACGACGCCACGCCGGCGATCACATAGCGGCATGGACCATGACTTACTTTGACGCGAGGCGCGCGCCGCTCGACCCTTAGTGTTTTTTTTTGGAGCGCCGCCGTGGACGGGCCCGGCAAAAGTCGCCTGGGCTGGACGTGGCGGTGGTTCAGGCTCTTTGGGCGACATGGGCTGGAAGTGGATGCAAGACAGACGCAGGTTACGCCATCGCCATCGCCTGTGCTATCCGCGACTTGGCGCTGGGGAAGAAAGCAGCGCGCACTGTGCACTGCGCAGGAGCGGCGATAAGATACGGCGACAGGCGCCCTGCCCCAGGAGAGATGCGGGGTTAGCGGGCACGGCGGGCACGGGCTAGAGCCGGTAGCCAGACGGTGACTGAGCGACCTCGGCCTGCTCATCTGTCAACATAATTGCTTCTCCCACGCCGTCTCCCAAGTGCCACTGCAAGCGTCATCCCGGCTCCCGCCTCTACCACGGTACAGTCGCCTGCCACCCAGGGCCCTGTCATATCAACCCCACTGCCTGCCACACGGTCCGACATTGCCCAAACACCACCATGTTTGGCAAGACTGAAAGTAAGTTCAGGGTTTCACGGCCACGGCGCCAAGTCGTCTCAGACCTCATCTACAAGGCTTGTCCTTCTGTAGACTTGTCGCCAACCTTTTTAGCCCGCCACACGGCTCTTTTGGCCATGCATGTTGGTGGTACACAGTAGAGCGGCAGTCTGACCGTTTGCAGAACATCCGTCGTCTCCGGACCTGGACAAGCAGGATGCCCTTCCTCGCTACGACAACAACCACGACGACGACGCTGACCATGTCACCTGTCCGCCCACCACCACCGACACCAAACTCCTTGCCAAGATAGATCTCCATGTCATCCCATTCCTGTGCATCATGTACCTGCTGGCCTTTTTGGATCGAGTCAACATTGCCAACGCCAATGTCTTTGGCCTCAGCCAGGAACTCGATCTCAACAGAGACAACCGCTACAACACAGCCCTTGTCATCTTTTTCGTCCCGTATATCCTCTTCGAGATCCCGTCCAACATCTTGCTGAAAAAGATGAAGCCCCGCATCTGGCTTAGTATCTGCATGTTTGGCTTTGGACTCGTCACCATGCTGCAAGGTTTTGTTCAAAACTATGCGGGATTGCTGACTACTCGCTTCTTTCTCGGTGTCTTCGAGGCCGGCATGTAAGTGAGCTCTGAATTAGTTGCCACCACGGCCGAGCTGATATTCATAGGTTCCCCGGCGCCTTTTATCTGATTGGAATGTGGTATAGGAGAAGTGAGGCCCAGAAGCGCTTCTCCTTCTTCTTCAGCTCCACCACCCTTGCTGGGGCTTTTGGGGGACTACTCGCCAGTGCCATTGGCAAGATGGATCACATGCGAGGCTATCGCGGATGGCGTTGGATATTTATTCTCGAGGGACTGCTAACCGTCGTCGTGTCGTTTGCATTCTTCTTTTTGCTGCCTAATTTTCCCGAAGAAGTCAAGTGGTTGTCGGAGCCTGAGCGCGCCTATGTCAAGCACCGCCTCCAAGTCGACCAAGGCCGCTCCGCCCGCGAGCGCCCCATCAAAGCGCGAGACGTTGCAAATGTCTTCAAAGACCCCAAGATTTTCATTGGCGGCTTGATGTATTTTGGCTTGATCGTACCGGCATATGGCTATGCATACTTTTCACCCTCCATCATCCAAGGCTACGGCTACTCGCCCATTCAGACCCAGCTCCACAGTGTACCTCCCTGGGCTGCTGCTTTTGGCTTTGCCATGCTTGTTGCATATTTCTCCGATCGCCTCAGACATCGCTTCCTTTTTGCCATTTTCCCCATTTGCGTCTGCATCGCCGGCTTCGCCATCCTCATCTCCGTGCACAACAATCACGATTTGCAGTATGCGGCTCTCTTCCTAGTAGCTATGGGCGCCTATACCGCCATGCCTGTTATTGTTTGTTGGTTCAATATGAATCTGGGTGGACATCACAGGAGAGCTGTGGGCAGCGCGTGGCAGGTGGGTTTCGGTAAGTTTTGGACTTTTTCTTTTCTTCGTTTGATCCTTGTTTGCGCAAAACAAGTCTGACATTACATATAGGCAACATTGGCGGCATCATTGCTACGTTTTCTTTTCTCAAAAAGGATGCACCAAAGTACACAAAAGGCTACTCTATCAGCATTGCTTTTGTAGTCTTAAGCGCGCTTAGTTGCACTGCGTACTTTGTCATGTGCAACTGGGCGAACCGGAGGCGCAACAAGAGTGTGAGGGATGTGGGGTTGACCGAATACGAAAAGACGGAAATGGGTGATTTGAACCCAGATTATCGATATCTCCTTTAAACGGGGGGGTTCGAGGTGCTTGGATGAGGAATGAAAAAAGAACCAGAGTGGAAAATCTAAAAGGGAACAAAATTTCTTATCTAGTACAAAGGATATTTGCGTCTAGACTTTCGGCCGGTATGAAACGTAATCCTAGACAGATATTCATGATGTATATATCATTACCGAATTAATCCAAGTATCTTAACATATTGGTTCTCCTCTATTGGTTACGCCAGTGAAGATTTCCGTCACAGTGTTGATAAGACAGTTCTCGATCGACTATGGCAAAGAAATTCCTCTATGCCATAGAGCGGGTCTTATTCAGTGGGCAATTCAGCTTGCCTAGTTCGTCTTCTTTTCGTCAAATCTTATCAGACTTCGGCGCCTGGGTAACCTTAGTATTCTACACTAACTAACATCCTGTAGTGCACTCTATCTAATCCATGGCTTGACGACTTACGACGTTGGATATGATAAATCGTTGTGAGGAAATCTTGCTCAGTTCGCATTAGCAGCCCATTGTGTGTAAAAAAAAAGTACCAGATATTCCCCATATTTTCAAGTCACACTCTGCGCAGTTGTAATACTATCCGAATCCACACCCTCTTCACTTCCATGCCCCCAAATCTCCTTACTCTCACTCTCCACCCCCCTCATCGCCTTGGCCACCTCCTCCAACCTAACAACTACCTCCTGAACCCCCTTGTTCACCTTCTCAAAATACCGATCGTTTTCCTCCCTCCTCTTCCGGCTAAGCTCGATATCCTTCTCCGTCTCCTCCTCTAGCTTAATCCGATCAAACAACTTATCCCCCTTTCCCGCACCAGCACCACTGACCATACTCTGCGTCTGCACATCCGTAGCCTTGGTATCCTGCGACTTCTTCTTCTGCTGTTCGGGCGCCTGTTCGTCTTCTTCTGAACGGGCCCATGCTCTTGCAAGCTCGATTTGGGCTCGGCGCAGCTCATCGAGAGCGCGCGAATGTTCGGAGCCGAAGACAGTCATGCCGGGGCCTTTGATCGCGCTGAGTTCAACTTCCTCGAGCGTGTTTTGCATCTCGGCCCATATCGCTTCGGCGCGCGACGAGGCTTCTGCGTCGGCTGCTTGGCTTTGTTGGCGCTGACGCCGTTGGAAGGGCGCTGATGGATTTGTCGATACGGGGCTGAGGTAGTCGCCATCGCTGGTAGTGTTCGGGGGGAGAGGGCGCTTGGGGTCTGGGGAGAGTAGGGAGCGTTGGCGGACTAGAGGTGTCTTTGCTGGTGTTCGGGTCTCATGGAGTGATGTGTTGGAGGCATTGTGCGATGGTGGGCCAACGAAGAGAGCGGGTGCTGGAAGACGGTTTGTCTGCGTCTTGAAAATCTTCTTGTCATCCTTAGAAGACATGGTGTAGCATGCAGCGTGTATATTCACAGGAGCAGATGTTGAAGACAAAAGGTGATTGAAGCTTCACGCAACTAGGTATAGAAGCTAGTAAGGACGTTGAATGTCAGAATCCGAACACCAATTTCTGTTTTGTATCTGTCCAAAGCTAGAAGCTAGTAAGACTAGGGCTATGCGCTTCGACAGAGAAGTCGGTGTTCAGTGTTCCTGAAGTCCTCGGCCCAGCTCAATGACGATGGCCCGATAAGATAGGAAATACCCCTGCAGCCGCGCTAGCCACGACAGAAGCGACGCCAAGGCTCGTGCGCCCACACGCTGGGTGAGATTTCTCCTTCCCGTTACTCTTCGACGTTCGCGATACTAACCATCCACTCTCCAGCACATCACTCGTCAACACCGCAATCATGGGTAAAGGTACGCACTCATCTCACCCAGGCATCTCCAATCCATTCACATCCCATTTCCCCTCCCCCTCGCCTTGCACGACACCATTGTGCACTTTGCAGCTGCTTACTCCATCCTCCAGGAAAGCCAAGAGGTCTCAACGCCGCCCGCAAGCTCCGCAACCATCGTCGTGAGGGACGATGGGCCGATCTCCATTACAAGAAGCGTCTCCTCGGAACCGCTTTCAAGTCTTCTCCCTTTGGCGGTTCTTCCCACGCCAAGGGTATCGTCCTTGAGAAGGTCGGTGTTGAGGCCAAGCAGCCCAACTCCGCTATCCGAAAGTGTGTCAGGGTTCAGTTGATCAAGAACGGAAAGAAGGTCACCGCTTTCGGTACGTCACGCCATTCATGGGATTGAGTGCAGCTACAGCAAAGCACCTGTGGCAAGCATGCATCAAGAAGATGTGGCTAACACGAAAGCAGTCCCCAACGACGGTTGCTTGAACTTCGTCGACGAGAACGACGAAGTCCTCCTTGCCGGTTTCGGTCGCAAGGGCAAGGCCAAGGGTGATATTCCCGGTGTGCGTTTCAAGGTCGTCAAGGTTTCCGGTGTCGGTCTCTCGGCACTCTGGAAGGAAAAGAAGGAGAAGCCCAGGTCATAGAGTACTGGCCAACAAGGAATCAAAGAAGGAAATGAACGTGGACTACCAGTACGCCATGAACGAATGATGGAATCCGCGGATGGCCGCGGAAGTTTACCGGAGTCTTTACATTGGGGATATCTGTGCTTCAACTCGGCACATGAAAGTCATGATATGCTGGAGGGTTAGATAGCAAATCTAACTCGTTCAAGCGCCCACTCGTTTGTGTGTCGCTACTGGAGTAATTCGTAGCCCTTCACAATGCCTTGGTGGGGTAATTGTTGAGATGCACTTACCTAAGCGATTTATCCACGCATGTCGTGTGCAAACATGGAAGGTTAGCCGCGTACTGAATCAACGTCCGATTCGCCATGCATACAAATCTTATTCGTGGTCCTTGTACTACTAGATTTGAGTATCACAGCTTACCTACAGATCGCGTCTGCGACTTTGATAACTCGGGCCAATGGAACATAGGAAAAAAGTGCCACCAGCTGCCGGGTATCTAAAACAAAACGCCAATCAATGCGCCCACTATCCCAAAGAGAGAGAAAAGAGAACGAAAAAGAAAACAGTAAGGAAAACAAAAGGAAAACGGGCGTTCGCCAGTACCAAACCAAAAACTATCGATGATGCAAGCCAAGTCTCTATCTGTGTATATCCTTTCCTCTCTCTCTCTCTATTTGGAGAACATGGCATTGAACGTATCCTCCAGCCCCGTATCTTTCATCGTGCCATAGTAATCATATTTGAGTTTGGGGCTAGCAAACAGCTCCGCATCCCGCTTGACATTCTTCGGTACGCCCAGACCCTCTAAGCCCTGTGATTTGCTGGTCCCATCCGCACCCCTCGTCTGCTTCTCTTCTTTGAAGAAGTTGGGCATGCTTTCTTTGAGTGGCGGCGCCCACACTCCGCGTTTCCATGGGTCGGGTTTTTGGTGGGCGGCGAGCGAGGTGGGAGGTGCGGCGGGGACGCGGTGGCGGAAGGGATTTGGGTCTTTGCGGGCGAAGATGGAATGTGGTTCTCGGGGTTTGGCGGAGGGCGAGGCTTGTTGCTGAGCGAAAGCTGGGCGCTTGGAAAATTGGTTGGATATAATTTCAGGGGGTTGGGTGGAGAAGCGGCCTTTTGTCGGGGTCCAGTCCATGTCGTCGACGTCTAGGAAAGAGTTGCGTTGGGCGAAGGGAGTTGTGGCTTCGGTCGCGTGTGTGGTATAGGATGATTCAGTGAGAGTAGGTGATGGAGGGGCGGGAGAGGATTCTTGATAGCCTTGGATTCCAGATGCAAACGAATGTGCCATGCTATCGAAAAGATCCGCTTGCGGGTGTGCAGGATGGTAGGAGCCCCTCCTTTCTTTCTTTGCGCTGCTGGGTTCGCTGAGGACAGGCTCTTGGGCTGCCTTGGGGAATGAGGGTGCAGCACCGTAGACTATGCGCACAGTTTTCCATGTCAGGACGAAAGAAAGAGCAAGAACACTGGCCATGACTGTGTGAGTGTATCGGAAGCTCTGTAGGGTATCGCTGCTGACTGCGGTATGCTGCCAATAGTAGAGACTCGCAAGGCGGAGTGCGATGACGGCAGAGCGAATTGACCATAGTGACTTGAGTCCATGCATTCTGCCCGTTAGACTGTTCGTTTTGAGCTTCAACTTGGGGTTCCACCAGATAGTGAGCAGGTCGGCAAGGATAGCGTATTGCAACCATTTGACTACATACGGCGAAAGTACACAGATGTCGTCGATGGAGCGTGAGAGAAATACTTGATGCAAACATGCGCTCCAAGCGAAGATCTGGCCTTCTCGAATAGCCTCATTGGGGATCATGATTAGCCCAGCGACATGCCAGAGCAGTCCCACCACCGTACTCAAAATGTAAGTCCACTTGGCTAGCGAAATAGCCCTGAGCGTCCATGCTTGTCGCGCCGTGTACACAACTGTGCGCTTCTCTTTGCTCGCTTCCATTATGCGCGCCAAATTGTCTGCTCTCGCTACATGGTTCGCATTTCGTATCTGGTTTTGGACCCGGGGCAGACAATTCTTGCACACTTGTGGGTAGCGCTCCTCGAGCTCGATCTTGTAGTTGTCGTAGGCTGCGAGGTATTGGTCGTACTGCGGATCGTCTTCTTCTGGGAGAAATTCGGCGAGCAGACTGGTGTATAGCGTTTGGTTATGTTGACACGCGTCGCAGAAGATGTTGTCGGTGGGAGCGGACATAAAGGGCGAGGGTGAGCGCGAGGGTATGTACTGAAGCACAGGTGCAGAAATAGTTGCAATCTCTTCTATCGGTGGATCTGTGATATTTCCGCGCTGGTAGAGAGTCAGTTGAAGAGAAGTCGCATATTTATGTCTTCAGGCATTCACCTCATCAAAGTGATTCACGGCGTCGCATTGTGGACAGCGGTACTTTTTGGGTATCTGGGAGACGCTCTCTCGCGACTGAACATTGCAGTAATGACAGCGCAGTCTGCGCCGTAGGAGCGGCATGTTGGCGACAAGGTCGGGAGGTTGATGGGATGGTTGATGTGGGTGGACGATGTCATCGGCCAGTTGGTTCGGGGTGGCAGAATGGCGACGCTGACACACCGCCCGGGGACCGACGCGGAAATTTGGATCGCAGTATCGAATGCACTGGTCACCACCAAGAGGGACGACTTCCCGCCAGCCCATCGCCGCAAGGACCAAGCCATTGAAGCGAGGCGCTTGCAGTGAATCCGAAAAAGTCGATTGACCCGGAAAATCCATTGCTAGCACCCGTCCACGCCCACTGCTCCATGGCTCGGTAGTCCGCAAACCCTCCCACATCTACGTCCATCGCCCTTACCCTACCCACCATGAGCCAATTAGTCGTCCGGCCAGGACGCAACGCCGCACGCCAGGCCAAGAAACTCAAGGAGATCCGCAAAACGAAGCATGCAATCCAATGGCACGAGCGAGAGCGAAAGAAGCGACAGGAACTCATGCAGGAGCGATGGGAGTCCAAGCAAGCCGTCCTACAGCGCATTATGTGGGAGAACGACAATATCAAGGGCATTAAGAAACGTGCTCTGGCCGATGCCAAGGAAGATTGGAAGTTGGGTCCTTTGAGACCAAACCGTGCTGTCGGCCCAAATGCAGATACGTACGGCGCTATCACATCATCTAGGATGCAGAAACCAGAAATCTCCGCCAAGACACAGAAGAACCGCAATGCTGTAAGAGAGAGGAAGGGACTGGAGCTTGAGTATCCTTTGGTTGTCGATGATAAGAAGTACTTTCCTATTGTCAAAAATGACCGTGTCGTTATTCTTAAGGGTAAAGATGCTGGCAAGATTGGTGTTGTACAAGAGATCATCCCTCGGACTCATGATGTTCTTGTAAAGGATTTGAATATGGTCTGTATTCTCCTCTTAGACCACAAAGTTAGGCTAACACCTTCTAGCAATATTACGACTCCAAAGTTTTCAGTGCTGCCAACGAAGATATGGGCCCCAAGCACCCAAATGAGGTGCCACTTCCTCTAGACCACGTTCGTCTCGTAATACCCTCTGAGATCAATCAAGGAGGTGTAAGACGTTACAAGGACGTTATCGTAGAGAAAATCTTCATGGAGCAACACACAACTGGCATTGACCCCTACACCGGGACTGACTACGGCAGCTCAGAAATACCAAAGGAACACCAATATGACCCTCGCAACGGCCTACCTATCTTCCACCGCTACATCTCAGGTACAAATCACCGTATCGAATGGCCATGGGAACGTGAAGAATGGACTGAAGATGTCGATGTCACGAACGAGCAAAGCACAGATAACCGCTCATGGCTGCGGAAGACCATGTCCACCATCGCTCAACCTTTCTCCGGCCTGGACCGCTGGCGAAGCAGTAACAAGCAGAGCAGAGAGCAGCAAGACTCGAGTGCCTTGAAGACAGACGATATCGAAGAAAGCTTCGCAAAGATCGAAAAGGAGCAACAAGACAGGTTCAAGACACAACCTCCAAGAAGCAAGGACCTTGAACTCCCAGAGGCATACGATGACGTAGACACAACGCGCAACATTGTCGAGAGATCAGAGTCCATGTCTTATATCCTCGTTTCCCCACCCTTCCCCGACACTCTCAGCGAAGAACTCCGTGGCGACATCCACGACCTCTCCATCAAGGCAAAGAAGGAACAAGATCCCCAGGCGCCGCGCGTCAAGATTGCCCGGCACTCTGAAAAAGGCGCGCTCGCACGAGAAATTGCAAAGCAGCAGAAGCAAGCTGCCGAAGCAATGAAGACGCCCATGCAGTTGCGATGGGAGCTGGAGCAAAGGAAGAAAGCAGAGACACTAAAGAAACAGCCTCTTGTGGATCAAGAAACCCTGCTAGCCGCACTAGGCCAGCACATACAGAAGAAGGCTGCAAAGCCGTACCTAGGCAAGAAACAGATTGCTGCTCAGAACCAGGATTTGGACTAAGCTTTCTTCTTCAAGTGCACGATTTGCACTGTAGTCTCCGAGCAAGAAGAAGAGAGATTTGTAACATAGAAACTTCTGTACACATAGCCGCGAAACTGAAAGCAGCAAATCTCAATCCAAGCCCTCTTGCATAGTACATACCGTTATCATAGTTTTGTGGGGGGGGGGGTATCTTTCGCTGTGAAATTCACATCAAACGCCATCATCTCCCATGTATACCACATTGTCCTTGTAAATCTCCTATCGTATGCATACTTCTTGCATCAGTAATCATACCAGGATGCCCCAGTATTCTGCTCTCCCACTCTTACCTTCCAACTCCTCCCACTGCACGAGAAACCGATCCACGACGTGAAGCAAGATCTTGCCGCTTAGACTAAGCGTCTTAACTCGTGCAAAACTCTCGACATATACGCTTTTACACTTGCGTCTACTTTCTGCGCCCTTAATGTTGAAGAAACGCAATATGAGGCTTGCGAGGATAACGATAACGGCTGTAGCTGGCCCATTGGTGATGATCAGATCGGGAACGTCAGCGGCGGCAGCTTCGTATGGAGTCGCAGGTGCTTGGCCTGCAAGAAGCGGGGGTGCTCCGAGGAGCGGTGTGAAACATGCGAATAGGGTGTATAGAGCGGAAAACGGTGTTGTGAGCAGTGACTGGTGGATCTTCCTTGCACGCGGTACGATGGCTATGTCGTAATGCTGGGGTCCTGTGCATGCTGGGCCGTCATCTCCTCTACTTGTATCCAGAACACGTGTCTGGCCATTTGTATCCGTGACCTGCATCGTTGGTCTTGCTGCTTTGCCATCACTCTCGTCTGCGTCTCGCCCATTCACCACCTTTTCTTGCGTTTTTTCTCTCTTTTTTGCGGCATCTTGCAAATCTTGCTCAAACTGTACAGCGCGTTGTGCGGAGAAGGCGTCGCCGCTACTAACTACGTATGTCCTGTGTGTATACTTTCTTGTGTCGAGGTCGCGGAGCAGGCATAGCATTTCGTGGGTGTGGCCCCCGGATCCGAGCACGATTAGCACGCGTGTTGCGAGTGGTCGTTTGCGCCGGAGTGGTCGCGTGTTTGTGCTTGCATTGGGTAAAATAGCAAGAAGGCGTAGAGTGAATGCGACTAGAAGGGTGGCGAGGGTTGCTATGAAGAACGAGAGAGTGTAGAGGGTAGATGGTGGGGGAGCCATTCTGGGAATTGCTATCGTGACGGATCGGATTGCCCGCGGTGGCCTTTGAGGCAATTATATTTCCAGAAGCTTGCGCTGATTGCTGCAGGGGGTAGCTAAACGACATGTAGTTTGCGAGACATTGTAGAGCATTGTTGATGGCTTGGAATTGGGTTGCTGTTCATGTAGGTGAGAGGTGAAGTGGCCGTGGCCATTGGCCAATGGTCAGTCGCGAACGGAAAGCACATTCCGAACACGGGGTCACATGACGAGGTCTGGTAATCAAGCACCCCCATAAACACTGACCCAAGGCATACGGATCTGTGATTGTGATTCACTTTCTCACGACACGAAGAGCAATATTCGTGTTTGCATACCTGCAAAATCTATTTCTCATGTAATGAAAACTTAGTGTTGTGCACGACAAGGACCATACAGTAATCGGTTCCAACGTGATGATTCCAACCATTGGATATAATTCAATAAACCGCCTAGAGAATACGTAGATATACTGAATATGAAAGTGAGACAAAGCGCTATGCAAGATTGATGGCAGCCAGGCCTACATCATTGCCTTCTTCAAGGAACACTTGCGCTGGCAACTACATCTTCCCAAACAGGCCAATAAGCATCTTCCCCTTGCTCATCCATCTGCCATATCAAACTCGGATTTCTTCTCATCACACCTTCGTGTTCTCTCTTCAAGCCAGCCAACCGCTCACTCAATATTCTCATTTGGCCCACAACGCATCTTAACTCCCTGCCCCTTGCTGTCGAAGGAGAGATCTCGCCTTTTAGGTCCGATAGTGGCCCCACAAGCCGTGTGAGTGTGGGCGGTAAGCTGTATCGGAATGATGCTTCGACCCACGATGTGATGGCGAGGCGCGAACATAGGAAGGCGCTGAGAGCAGGAAGATAAGTAAGTGTATCTGGCGTGGAGGTGGTGGTAGAGTGGTGAGAAGATAAGGCCAGAGCACGACTTAGGTGTATAGGCCAACAAAGCGCCGCATAGCGTAAAAATGGGAAATGGGTATCGAAGGGTATGGTGCGAATACTGCTTGGTCTTGAGCTGCTGTTGCGTGAATTGGGTACAATTGGTGCTACAACATGGTTGTTGTCACCGTCGGATGAGGACAATGACTTGTAGCCGCTATCTCCAGATGAGTTTGTTCGTTGACTCGCACCGCTACTGGGTGAAGCGGCTGGAGGCGTGGGTGGGTTGTGAGGGTGTAGTGCGCCAAGTGGCTGCTTCGGTACGCTGTAGACAAGATATGAAAGGCAATCGGCTGCAAGGTGTCCATGTACACTACTCTCGTTATGCAGACTAAATTCTGATGTATGAGAAGCAGAGGATTGGAGGAAGTCACGCACGGACGCGTGGGCGAAAGAAACAGCGTCGTTTGTGACTAAAAGGAGACCGCAGCTGAGCTCCTCCAACGCGTTGACGATATCCATCGTATGTGATGTCTTGTTTTCGTCTGTACTTTGTATACGCAGAGCCGCTTGTAGTGCAGCTGAATCCAAGTGGTGGATTCCATGAGATAACCAGCGGAAAGTACTGGTAATGACTCGCTTCTTTTGGTGGGAGTGACGCGCCAGCGCATCAATCATAGTGTGGTAGAGTGAGCCCAGCCCTTTCAGCGACTGAACATTCAACAGAAGGCTTAATCGTTCTTCTGGTGAAATCAGTGGTGACTGAAGCAACTTCAGAAGCATAGAAGCCCATAGAAACTCTCCATTTGCTGCTTGTGCGAACTGGGGAATGAGCGTTCGGTCCATCGATATACCAAAAAAGCCTTGATCTGCCAGACGATTTAGTTCTGGTGTTAAGTAATTCTCAATGGCCGTGGCGTTATGCGAGCTTTTGAGAGAAAAAACG